CAAAACCACCAATCACCACGCAGACCAAAGCACCCACCACCACACAGCCAAAACCACCAATCACCACGCAGACCAAAGCACCCACCACCACACAGCCAAAACCACCAATCACCACGCAGACCAAAGCACCCACCACCACACAGTCAAAACCACCAATCACCACGCAGACCAAACCACCTTGTCCATGCTATGACAATTTCACAGAGACATGCCACCAGGTAATTTCTGCCGCAATATTTGTATTATTTGATTCTGAATATAATCGATGTTTGTCAACAAGGTTGGAGATGAATACTGGGTTAGCGACTGTAAAAAGTGCGTGTGCTTCGGAAGATCTCAAGGCATCMAGTGTGCTTTAGGGTTTTGTAAACTTACAGATAAGATTTGCCGTCAACAGGTGAGTATTTACTCTTTGGTGTTTTCGTTTGGTAATGTGCTCTAGTTTTATTCTGCATCWATAGGGTTACGACTTCCTGTTTAATAACGGCGTTGATTGTTGCGAATGCAGAAGAAATCAAACGTGGACTACTACAGCTTTTCCTTCGTTTCCACCTACAACAGCAACACCCACAACACGTGAGTGAAGTATTATTTACTGCACATAAATCAGCTATTCGTGAAAAATAGATATCTCACAACTAACGTCATCTCTCAGGTTTAAGTTAAAATTTAYTTGATAAAGAATCCAACATGCATTCAAATTTATTCTTTCATGTAGAATACTGCCCAGGAAACACCAAATACAGACTCTGTAAGAAACAACAGACTTGTCATGACCGTGACTTGTGCGACATTTCAAATGCAGTRATGGGATGCTGCTGTGATGAAGGACTAGTGTTGTATAACAATCAATGTATAAACATTACGCAATGCCCTTGTATTTTCAAGAACAAGATAATGGTATTTTATAACAAATGTTTATATAGACATCGCATCATAATTTCAATTATCCTTTTTATGAAGATAGCAATTTCTTGCTATCTGATGTTTTATGTAGAACTGTGACTAATTTTATATCACAGTGTGCTAATAGAACTAGAGTAATCTCCTAATGYGTTTTCTATCAGGCTGAAAATGAGGTGTGGTACCCAAGCGACCACGAAATCTGCAAGTGTTCAAACGGTAGACAAGACTGTTCTCGTAAATGTCAACCTGGATTTCATTGCGCAGCTGTACGTACTTAGAAACTGTTTTCTATTAAGAAAAGAATATCATAAGAATAAAATATKATAGAATTATGAAATTATGACGTATGAAACATATTTGATGTTTAGAACGAGTATAAAGTTCACCGCAACACACCAAACTCTAACGGGACATGCTGCGATTGTGTTGAAGATTGTAAGTATTGCATGATGCGATTTTGAAAATATTCGCAACTAACATCGATCTGACATCGAGATCTAAGCATCAATAATAGCCACACCAATGATAACAATTATGCATTTCTTCTTTTCTTATCCAGACTGTGAAGTCAATGGAAAMGTCTACGAGGTTTGTAGAGGATATTGACATACTTTTCCTACAGTWTTAGGGATGGTGTAGTGACAATCAAACTATTATAAATTTTAATAAGAGCACTTCAAAAGGAGGGCGAATATTGCAAMACACACCAGAATAAAGTAAACACTGTTATTGTAAAATGAGTTGTTTTTCTTCCCATTAACCGGAAATGGTGGAACCAATTTTGTCAACGTGATTGGTTTTAATTTGTCCAAGATTGGAGAAAAGTGGAGAGGTGAATGGTCATCACAGTTATGTGAAACATGTCAGTGTTTAAAGGAAGCCCGCAACAGAGCACAAGTGAAATGTGACCGTACAATATGCAATGCATGTCCACAGGTATTTCAAATTCTTTGTAGTGGGGGAGTTGCACAGCATTTTAAAGGCGTTTATTACTTTGCACGCATTACATTGGTTCATGCACTTAACATCTCAGTCATGAAAGTACGACACGTAAGGCAGCAGAATGTTCTAATTGCTGTAGAATCCTATTCTTGGATTGTTTTCTCCTAAGGAAARCTGATTCATTGAAGCAGATTCCATTTATTGTTTTTTTTTCATAGTATGAAGTCCCAGTTGTTGATCCAAACAAGCGTGAATGCTGCAAGTGTGGTAAGACATCAATCTACGACTTTCATATAAGATAATTGAAACAACTATTGTCTTAACTTCCTTTCAGAATGCGACGAAAACCTATGTCCTCAAAAGCCACCTTGCCCCACAGTAAGCTTTTGAACKTGTCACACAACAATCCATTGATTCACTTAAGTTACGACATAATTCTAACGTTGTACTTATGGAAATTCATTGAATTATTATATCAGGATATTTCTATAGTTATCATTTAGTCATCAGGAGAGTGTTGAAATTTGAACAATGTACTTTTTTGCCCATACAGGGTTCGTACTACAAGAAGAACAAGATGGAGTGTTGCGGTTATTGTTGTAAGTATGGACATAAGGCTTACACTCCCACATGTATTATAAGAACTAACTTTTAATCACTTCTCAGTTGCTAACAAGAATGGAACCAATGTGACAATAACGTTCACTCCAAGTCCACCTACTACAGCAGCGACAGGTCAGTGGTGTTCATCGTTTTAGTTCTTTCGCATATCATTATGTACCATTAACCAACTGGTTCTTATCATCCAGGTATTATCATTAAAAGCACAACACATCGACGTAAGTATGCATACTATAAGTATTGCAATCATAGTGTAACTGGAATATTTGCCAATTGAGCTCTGATCTTAGATGCTGACTTTCTTATGCGTCATAGCTATTTCGCTCCCGCCACGGCCTTCGACCAAAGGAAAGCCTTCCACCACAGGGCAGCCTACTTCTACTGGACAGCCAACTACAACTGAACAACCTACCACCACTGGACAGCCGACCACCACTGCACAACCTACCACCACTGGACAACCTACCACCACAGCACAACCTACCACCACTGGACAGCCTACTACCACTGAACAACCTAACACCACTGGACAGCCTACCACCACTGGACGGCCTACAACCACTGGACAGCCTACCACCACAGCACAACCTACCACCACTGGACAACCTACCACCACAGCACAACCTACCACCACTGGACAGCCTACTACCACTGAACAACCTAACACCACTGGACAGCCTACCACCACTGGACGGCCTACAACCACTGGACAGCCTACCACCACATCACAACCTACCACTACTGGACAGCCCACCACCACTGAACAACCTACCACCACTGAACAACCTACCACCACTGCACAACGTACTACCAAAAGCCAGCCTACTATAAGCGGTCAGTCTACTACCACAGTTAGGCCTACCACCACAAGACAGCCTACTACAACGGGAMGGCCCACYTCAACAGGGCAGCCCACCACTGCACAACCTACCACAACAGAACAGACTACTACCACAGGGCATCATATTTGCGGTAAGTTATTATTGAACACTGTGTTTTGATTAACGTTAATACATCTTTTTCAAAAAGTTTTAGTCATAACTGAACATYTGATGTAGCAAAACATCATGTTTTATCTTAGATTGCTCTTCTGGACTGGGAATGCAGGACCATCGTATCAGAAACCAGGACATCGTGACTTCATCTWCTCGTTACCCGTTGTCTGATGGTGGTCAGGCAAGACTATATAATCGTTACTCGGCATGGCAGCCACGGCCTGATGATGTCAATCCGTTTGTACAAATATACTTGGGTAAAAATAAGCTWGTTACTGCTATTTCTACACAAGGACATCCACTACGATCTGAGTAYGTCAGCAATTACATTATAAAATATAGCATTAATGGACGAGTTTGGAAATTTGTCACTTCATTCGGAAACATCCCAAAGGTAAAAGATGCATTGGTGATATTTTAATAAGGAGAATAAATCATTGTAGAACTACAAGAATCATAAAGAACACCTATCAAATATTTCTTTTCATGCAGTCAGGTAAATTGCTGATAGGGATTATCCTCTTTTGCTTTTTCGTCCTACATCCTTTTCAGATAAAGCTTTATCTGGGAATCAAGATAATCAAGATAATTCTGACAAAGTTTAATAAGCCAAATWGCTGATAATAAAAAGAACTGATCCGATGTGAATTATATCCACYAGGTATTCAAAGGCAATGAGGACAGCAATACCGTTGTTAAAAATTTCATACCGAAAGGGAAAGTTGTTGCACGTTATATAAGAATCATTCCTTTTAAGACTGACATGAATGACCAACTGCCAATTGCCTTACGTCTAGAAGTACATGGTTGTCCAGGTAGGCACATGTTCTATTTGCTTTACAGAAATATTTTTTCAAGCTTTGTTGTCTATCAACAGCAACCTGTGAATCAAAAACCACATCCCCTACAACACCGCAGACAACCACCCAGTTACCTACCACCACAGAAGCACCAGCAACCAGTGAACCCACCACCACAGAAGCACCAACAACAAAGAAACCTACCACCACAGAAACACCAACAACAAAGAAACCTACCACCACAGAATTTGTTGGAACAACCACCCCAAAGCTACCTACAACTGTACATACAGCTACAACAATGCTACCTACAACTGTTCCAGGTATGTTAGACTTAATTTGGGAAAAAAATGTTATTACAAATTATTTTATCTCTCAACCATKATGTTTGACTACACCATTATCTACTTTAAGCTTCTGGATGCACCACCRTTCCCAGTCACATGAATATCAAAGTGGGTGAGTGTGTCAGTAAGCAGCCTRTCAACCTTGGTTCRTGCCAAGGACATTGCCCATCTAACACAACAGCTTTACCAAGTCCACCATACTACCAATCTCAATGTCTCTGTTGCAAGCCATCGCGACTTCATCCAATCAAAATTCTACTTGACTGCGGTCAAAATCGTGAGCTTGAACATCAGCTGGCTATGATTACTGCATGTTCATGTGAGGAATGTTCTTATGATCCAGTGATAAGCAGTGCATCAGTGGAATCACAAGGAAACCTCCCTGCACAGATACGTAGAGAGATTTCATTTGAGCAACTTGTTGATCATRTCATGGGTAGGCAGCCGTAGTTATGCTGTATGCTTTTCAGTATTGTTGTAGAAGGGATATCATATAAAACTAGATGAATGACAATAAATACCATAATGAGAACACCTTATTCAATCATTGATCAAAAATTAAATTCATAATTTCTTCACTACACTACTATCACTTGGTAGATGGGAATAATGTTGCTCCATTATATAATATCCCATGAAGACAAATTACACTAAAATGTCTTGTGATTCTTTGCCATTCTAAGTCATATACTATCATTCCTTATCAAATACATTGCATTCAATTCAATTCAAAAAAATGCCTTCAAAATCTGCTGATAATTATACAAAGCAGTTWTGGTGCTTTTGCACAATTCAGACTGTGCTTTAAGGTGAGTTCATGCAAATTGTGATTTACATTAAAATATCTAGAACCATAATCATAACTAATAAAATATCAAAGTAAATATTGTTGAAATTTGTTCCCATCAAAGTTGATGTCTTCAAATAATTGTTGTGTCAACTGCTAATGTTGACTTACGTTCACTTTTTTATCATCATGAATATTTTACCAGTTTGGAAATTTATGAATTCACAATTACTGAAGTTTCTTCATCCAATGCCAAGTACTTTTTACGATATGCGCTGGATGACAAAAATGCAAACAGAGACCACTTAAATGACATAAAACCCCAAACAGCTGATATGTAGCTCCCTTTAGGATCAATTCCTACAAATAATATGGATATGTCTTAGCAACAGCCAGAACTGTGTTGTTGACAAAACAATATTAGATTTTTATGTCTCAATAACACACAGCCATTGTACATGTTGAACCTTGCAATTACCAGCTCACATCTCCTTCACATTTTTGTAACATTCTTCAACCATTATTCCCATGAGATTCAAAAGATAAAAGACTGCTGGTCATATTGGGAAACAATAGCCGCTGTGACGTATATAGTGAAAACGAAGAATCCATAGGTAAATTATCAAATTCATTACATGTAATAATTCAACAGGTAAACACAAAATCATTGTCGTTACCACAACTATGAGCAAGAGATTTGTTCTGATTTTGCATACGACTTTTGCAGTAAGTTATGAAATGATTATGTAATAAAATACCTTCCTGATGATTAGCCCCCATTGCGATATATGTAACGAACACAACTAAACCAGTCATTATCCCAAGACTACTAAATACCATATACAAGGAGAAACAGTCGGGATTAATCTTTCTTTCTAAGTCACGTCGAACTGAGAAAACCACATGAAGAAAGTAGACAGCGCACAGAGCGGAGAAGGCTGCCCACCCTGAAGCATGATAGTTTTGGTACTTCTTTGCAAACAATCCACAAGCAGCCAATCCTGCAATTACTCCAAAAATTGCTGCGACAATCTTAACGATCTCCTTGTATCTCTTATAAGCCGCCCACAGTCTTTTAAGAGCCATTGCTCGAATGATTCGTAACGAACTTACATAGACCTCCTAGATGCGACAAACTATAAGTTTGCTAGGCGTTCCTTGTCAGGACGTGAGAAGAATGGAAAGAGCGACAAATGTTGAGCATGAAGAAGGGAGGTAGATTACTGTAAATATTTTCTCGGTGTATCATTTCTTTTCTAGTTAGTACCACTCCATGATATCCAAATATATAAACATCATAAGAAATACATGATTTGACAAAAACATCCAAAAAAGCGTAACAGGTCCAACAGTAATCCTTAGTGTACAGCGGATCACTTTGAAATTTCAAAGTGTCAAACTGTTGATGAAATACAAAGGACAATGGTTGATTTCCGCTTCAATAACTGTGCATATATTAGCAACTGACGTTCGCTGCCAAAGGTGATTTCAGTTTTGAACACGATAAAGCTGTGGCTGTGCTACGGCTATCACATGCCGGGGAGAACTCAAACACAGGTATGTTGACTTTCTTATGAGCAGCAGCGTTGACAGAGAGTTTTTTACCCAACATTTCAATGATATAATATCATGTTATGAATATATTCCATACGACAAGAAGCTTATAATGCATAAGCCGCCGTGTAGTGGATGTCTGGTCGCCTGACACTAGTTTTTTTAACACGCGCCGCCATACCAAAGCAACAATGTGGACGTCCAAGTTCATTTGCCTGACGTCTTCATTTCGTTGAGTATGTTTTCTATGTCACGGCCAGGTTGATGGCTTCTGTTTTTCAGAACACACCTTAGGAGTCGTAACTTATATCTTATAAAGTTTAACTTTTTTGTTGGCGACAAGTTGTTATAACAGTGGTAATCTAGACGTAAGTTACTTTAGTTAGACCAAGGAAGATTGGCATCCCAATATTTTAGAAATGTTAAGTAACGCTTGTGTTGAAATCAGTTGTGACCTTTACTGTTGACAAGTATCCTTTCACTACCCCTCTTAGGTTTTGCTCAGTCTAGAATAGAATACAACTCTTCAATCAGATACCTGACATAGTTTGAAAGGATCTTAGTGATATCTTCAGGCCTCAATTTAAAGATTTATAATCTCACTCACTTTTTTAATAACTAGTGAAAAACGTTAGTAAGTTTATATAATATACTTATATTAAAAGCAGCTTGGGTATTCTGCTAGTTGCTAGTTGCTAATATACGTTAAAAGTCGGATCTTGCAAAACTCCAAGTCGATCTTGCAAGGATCCCATTATAGTATGTTATAAAATCAAGGGCTTTGCTTGCGTACTATCCCTATGGACTGCCTCAGAACAAATGAATAAACAGATAGAAATTAAAAATACATTTTTTTCTATTTCGGCTTTGCTACGGTCAACAAGAGGCTATGATGTGTTCTGTTGTTATGATGGGTGTGGTTTAGTAAAGTGACTGAAATGATTCAAACAAACACGTACTTCCGGGAAGCCGAACTCAAAAGCAGTCACGCTGTTGAAATGAAATATCATGTTGACCTTTAATAGATAATACACCCAACGACTGATTACAAGAACAGCTTGTGTTTCACTTCAACGGACGCCATTGATGGTCGTATACTACTCTATCAGCCTATGACATATCACAGTGTTGCTTGAATCAAGGTGATTATTCTAGTTCGCTTTACAATGGTGAGTAGTGCATGACAATGATGCTACCGACATATATGTCACTAGGTATATCGTGGTTTTAGACACAGACACGGCCGGTTCTATCACGAAAGCTGTAAACTTCCCCGCATTGTGATCATGCACTAGATCAGCCGTAAACCTTTTTCCTGCTCCGTTTTTATTCTTGAAAAAAAAAAAAAAAATACGGAGGTAGTGAAGATTTTGTATTTACGTTATAAGTATATTATAAAGTCAGGATTTAAGGGTATTTCTGAGTGTTTTATTCTTAAACATGTTTTCGTTTTTGAAGTAATTGTGATCGTTATGTAAGTTATAACGGTTCGAGTTAMTATAGATCGCGATGTACCGAAGGTTTGCTAAAGTGACAAACAATCAGAAAACCTACAATGCAAGCAAGAATTATTATCCATTTCTTGAATTATCGTGTGACGTCTGTCACGGATTGTTCATTCGGCGGACTTGATTCTGGAGTAAAGTTCATGCATGAAAAAAATTTGAATAATGAAAATGATTTATATGATCAATTTTCAGATGTCTTGTGTACAAGTGATGTTGCTCTATCTCGTTGTCTCTATACTACTTCCTCTCCAAGGTAAGTATGATTTTCTTCTGTGATTTCTATTCAGCGTTCTTAGTTATTAATGYCTCTATTACTGGGGTCAATTTCTATTTATTCAAAATTAAAAGTCATACCTATATAATTGGTGCTTGGAACCTAACATAAACTGGTCTGTGAGCTAATCATGAGCATGCTGTATAAGACCACCATTTGTTATAAGGTGGAATTGATGAATTTTTATGAAAGYGTTAAAAATTATATTTGATTGTGATTGTTGCTTAGCATAATTGCATCAAAGATCTCAAAGATCACATTCAATGATTACATCTAAAATTTCCCTTGWCACTGTTTGTCAGCACAAAGCAATGAACAGTGTGTTGAGAAAACTACTTGTGGGGAGTGTATCAAAGTGGGCTCTGCTTGTACTTGGTGTAAGGACAAGGTGAGTTGGGCTGTAAGTAGATATTGATTTCATTATATATATTAACAACTTGTTTTATTTGGAGGTGTACTTTGCAAAAGGGCAGCCAGCAGCACGATGTGACACAGTGGAAAACCACCTCAASAGAAAATGCAAAAAAATTAGCAACCCAAAATCAAGTTATAATGCTAATGAGGTGTGTGCATATCTCAATAATGCATGATAAAGTTTAACAAATGTAACATTTTATTTTATATTTTTTGTCAGAATAAAAAGTTTGATAGTACAACAAACGTTACACCACAAAACCTAACACTGCGATTGAGAAAAGGTAGAAATTATTGTACAGCCGACCTTGAAAAGGTTGTCGTCTTGACATTTCCAATGTTCCAATTGTCATGTGTCTTGCTATCTATTTAGTGTCTGCACATGGAAGTCCATGTAGAATTGTAAAATGTTTTGTCATTTTTCCACTATTAAAACACACTTTACACAAATGAAACRTGATTTTTTTCTAAAGTCACATAGCAATTGGGACATTGGAAATGTCTTGTTATGTAGACAATAAGCCAAACATGTATAATTCTATTTGATGGTGGAAACACTTTTTTTGATATTATGAAATTCTTAAAATACAGCCTTTTGCAAAAATTATGAGAATTGT